CAATATAGACCAATCTGAATTACATAACCTTGACACTCATACTAAGGGGCCCTAGATCATACATTATATCGACAGGATGCAATTGACAACAATTGATAAAAAGTTAAATAAACGAATTAAAGACAGAACCTTTTGTAATCACACATCTTCAAAAAAATAAACTTTTTGCATAGACATTAAGGAAAATTCATTCATAAATACCATGAAATAAAGACACGGTTAACGTATAATCACAAGAAAACTGAACGGTGTACAAAATCTCAGTATACCTTACCGTATATGGCACGACCGCATTTATAAAAGCGATTAGGAATGGGCACAAGCGGAGCACTCTTTTGGGGAGCTTTGTTCATGTGACAACCCATGCATGACAGGAAAATCACACTTGGCTTCTTCTTGTAGACGTGTTGAACACGCTCTTGTATTCTGTATATATACAACAGGACAAATCTTAATCGCGGTGTTTCAAATCTATTCATTTCAAATGCACTCATTTCAGAATACCAAGGAAATCAGACAGTGAACTAATGTCGGGCATTGGATTTTGTAAATTGTGGTAATGAATTTCGATCTTCACCTCCGTTTAACTGATTTTATTTCATTGTTTTATATGCTTACAATAGGTATCACGGGATAGGTAACGTATATAGAACGTATGTGAAGGAGATCCGCAACACCAGAGAATAATAGCTTCAAAATCTCACCATATTTCAGATTTTTCGCGAAATTATTGCTACGTAGTTGGTTATTTCAAACATGAATATCTCCTAACAGTTTGATTTTATTCGTTGCATTGAATTTTAAGTGAAACGGCACCATGTATGCAAATGAACCTAAAGGGAGGATGGTGGGCGTGTCTCTGCTTAATGAGTTATTTAAATATGCAAATTGAATTTTCCCGATATTTTCGATTTACGCTTGATCATGATATACTTATTATGCAAATAATCAACACGGACTAGATGAATTCGATTTTAATTTGCTGGTGATTGGAATATCGAGAAAAGCGGACTTACCTTTTCACTTTTTTCAAAGTTTTATCTTCGCAACGTAGTAAAATGTTACAATAAACTTGGGTTTTTTTCATTGAATGATATATGACTAACCAGTAATCATTGTTTGATTCCAAGATGAGCTTTTGTATTATACATTACTCATAGACAATGTGAAACACATATTGCTGGCGTCATCTTACAGTGTAAAACAGGTTATCTGTCGTACGACACTTAACGTACACTTACAGAAAAAAAAATAGCGAATAGATACTTTTTTTCCTCAATAAAAGATCAAACTTGTGTAATGTATATTATTTGGGTGATTTTTAGTGTAAGAGTAGGGGTGCAGTGCTTATTGATAAGGAGATATTTGAATGTTTGGCATTTTAGCATAATCAGTCATTAATGTACTGACCACATCATTGTCATCTTTGTTTTTCTTGACACATGTTTTGCATTCCACACAAACACAAAATATGTTCAATAGATGGAGTAAACTGTATACTTAATAAGATTCCTAAATTTTAACTTTATCATGTGTAACGTAACGATAACACAGTGGTAAGCAATCTGCTCTCGACTCCACAGGCGCTTGGATCGAAACCTCAGTTGAAATCAACTTTTTTCCAATAGAAAAGGGAAATTACATGATATCGAAACTTTCACGACATTGTTTCTATGTTGTTTCGTTCGAAATCATTAAAAATAATGAAACAATTAAATCGTTGATTGTTTAAGATGTGAAATTTAATCTTAACATCAATCTTTTAATTCTCAAATGGTTTCCAATCACTAGAACTTCATATTATCTCTTAAGCGTGCGAAATTCTTTTTCTCATTAACAACAAAGTGGTATGATATATATATTTCTATAAGGAACTCTCATTCTCTCAATACATTTGAATCAATTATCAGTAAGACAGAAATAATACATGACAAATGCTTTTAGGTATGGGATTTACGTAATTTAAACATACTTCATTTCCGTTTGAGAAATCCTACCAGATCTCTTGATTACGCATTTTCAGAGCAAAAGTTGATACAGCTGAATGTAGATGCAGCAACCCATGTGAAGACTTTTATTACTATTTTGATGTTTGTCCCCTATACATTCATAATCGAAATCTATTAATAAGACAGTTACAACCTCTCTTTGGGAATTTAATTTTCTCAGCAATGTCCCTATAGTAGTAATACCGTATAATGGATATCACCTTATCCCTATAACGGATCTATCATGTGATTTTAGACAGAGAATCATCCGGCACTATTATGGGTACCATGCTCGGTCCAATTCAGTTTCTGATTCATAAAACCGATCTTCCCGGATTCTCGCTCATAAGAATTGTTTTTAAACAACCTTATTTACTCATACACTGTGGTCCGCCTAAACCTCCATTTGTCGCTACATGAATGAGAATACCACTGATTTCTGGCATTTCATCCTGGCTTATAAATGTTCTGTCCTGGATATATCTGACAAATGCACTTTCAAACTCTACCAGTAAAAACGTGTTCTATATCTCGATGTTACATTAGAATCAACAGATATGAGTTTTCCCTTCTAAAACAGGCTTCTTACCACGCTACCTAACTTAACTTTGAGAAAATTAAAAGTAATACATTAAAAATTTTAGGTTGTCTTGTTTTACAGGGTTACGTATAAAAACGTCTAAAAAGGAGATATATTTATACAGCTTGATATCAACCCCGATTATAACCGACCAATGCCGAGAGTTAACGAAGGATCCGGAGAAGGCAGCTCGGTAACAGGTATGATGGCATCATTGATTTGTAAAATCCTCGGATCCACAGAACATACTGCCGGTATTCTCACTCTAACAACTTGCGTAATGAAAGGGTTACCGAGTGCAGTTGTTTCTGTTGCACCTTAATCCGAGCTTAGAGCTGTCGTCATACACGTGCTTTACTCATTTTATGATTAAAAAAGAAATACATTTATTGTATTTCTTTATTGAAGAAGATTTGATGCACATGTAATTGTGAAGTGATTTTTTTTATTTTGTGTAATAAGAAATTATCTTTGATACTAGGACATTAGATGTGTATATCTAAATCCACTCAAAAACTTAATTTCTTCACATTTTACATGTATGAACTTGCTATATAGTTTACGTAGATAATTAAAAAATGAATGTATCAAACCAGAGACGTATATAACACATATATATGTTATATATGTCTCTGATCAAACAAAAGATTTTATTGTCAAATATTCTAATGTTCATTATTTTACGAAGCTACCTTGTCCGTATATCAAACATGGGCAATGTTTATAATAAAATTAAACAATAAAAAACTAATGAAATTAAAGAATATATTTGCAATATCTGGGTTGTGTAACTTATGTCGTTCTCATATCAAATGCGACTGTATAGCGCTTATAAGTAATGGTAACAATTACCACATACGATAACATGTACATCATTGTGTTTGTGTGAAACTTTGGATAGAAATATGTGAATCATATGTAAACCTTTCAAAAGCTAATGTAGATAAAAATATATATTAATAGATTAATCAATATACAATGTAGCTATGCTATATATTTATACCTGTATTTCATTGATACCAGTACTGACAGCTGTCTTACCATTTGATGTCAGTCAAAATGTGATTAACGGATATTATTTCACATTTTTTGTAAACAAAATCACTGCCGATATGTGTATTGTATGACTTTTTGTTGTTCATCCCGAAACCCGATCATCGGTAGGGGAGAAAGATTCTATATCAGAACGCAGCACAAATGTTGCAAACTTTAGCGTTATCCGTCGTGTTTTAGCATGTCATAAGAGTTTGGAGTAGTTTTGAATAGTTTTACACAGCTTGTAGGTAGTTGTTTCGCCGAACTTGTTTTAGTCAGGGAATATTGTACGTTACTGGTTTAAGAGATAGTTCGTTTTTTTTAATATAAATGTTTGTAAACAATATTATGTCTTGGTAATGCTTTTCTTTATAAAATATTTAACTATTAATCTTCCTGGTGCAGAAGAAATTGATAAAAATAAACAAATGGTTATTTGGAAAAATGGGTCAGATGTTGAGGGAAAAAAGGAAAAATAACAGGCGTACAACACCCGCCAAGTTTCGAACGAAATAGTCTGCTTTCCTCTCTGACATTTTTGATAACCCTTAAGTCTTCCGAATGATGTCCGACTTCCGGTTTTGAGAGGGTGTGAATCATTATTTTGGTCATGAGAATGTGACATCAACGCTTTTAGGGTTGACAAAACCTCACTTGGAGAGTGAATTGCGAAATATTCGCTTGCACGGAATAAATGATAAATATAGATAATACAAGAAGTGCTTGACATCAACAAACAGTCTAGCTGGAATGATGGCCGAGACCAAAAGAAAGGCGTAAGTAATCTGCACCAGCACGTAACGGAGGAGGATACCTGTCATGAGCGGTGATATTATAGAGCCTGCTAATTTATGATGATGAAAACGTGTTTGTATCCACAGACGCTGAATCTAATAATTAACACGAGAAAAATCCACAATTCTCTGTATACAATATTTTGTACGAGTTTTGAATGAATAGTACACGTGGATTATGGATTTGTACTCGGTTTATTAAATACAATGTACTGAGGCCTCATGGGTTTGATTAGATGAGTTAATTACTCGAATTTTTGCATTGATGAGCAGGTCATAATGAATATTCAGATAATGTACGTATTTATTGATATTCTAACCCCAAAGTTATGGTCAATATTTAGACAGAAGTGTGTGTTATACACATGTGATGTATATTATGTAGGTAAAAATTTCGAAAAAAAAACTGTGATCATCTCATGGATTATGGATTTTACTCAGAGCATTCAATACCTAATACAGAACTGGACTTTGTCAATCTTCAGCGACCTAGTAGCTCAATTAGAAGGGAGTTCAGCATTTGGAACCCCATTTTTGACATTCAATTTTCCGTGCCGGTTACAAATTGAAACCTGTTACGGACTCTTGTTTTCATGTAGGTGAATGCTTGCATTAACCAAGGACTTGGATTCTTTAACCTTGATGGTAAATAGTTGTGTCTTCGGAAGTGAAGAATTAATACGGGGAGGGAGGAATGTAGTTAAACTAAACAGGTTCTGTTATCAGCAGCCAGTTAGCTCTTAGAAAATTAAAATCCACATTTTGATACTGTACAGTCCTATATGTCTGATAGAAGGTATTGATGGGACAATGATTGAATTTAATTTATTATCTAACCTCATCAGATATGATGATCAATTGTAATTTTTCGTTTAAAATCACTTAAAACAAAATTCATATTATGCATTATAGAGACACCTGTTGATAAGAATATAAGAATATTAATTCTTAAGAAATTCCAGGTAAGTGAGGTGTTTTAAACTTAAATTAGGAAAAATAGATAATATTACTGCAACAGAGAAAGCATTTACTTTCTATGTATTATGAACACATAGCCAGCTGTTATTTTCCATCATTGGACACGTGATGCAGTAGCTTATACAACAGAAGACTGACATAAGATACAATGTATCTATTGGTTCTAAATTGGTGTTAGCATTGTGTTAATTTGTTCACTGAGCAGTTTAAAAGTCATCAGCTTCTCTATATAGTCGTTGTAAATATATCTACTTATATATAGCTATGACCCATTAAGGTGCTCGCCTGTAATTAGTGTTGACTTAGCACTGACATCCTTGGCAAGACCCATCTTTTTTATCAGTGAGAAAATAAAGACCATTTTTGTAAAAAAACATATACCCCCTCCCCAGTTATTGATCGAGTTTGATAAGATAAACTGGTGAACTTGAAAAGAAACATTATTTGCAATCTGTTTACTTCGTTCTCATATGTTGTTAAGGGAAGCATTTCAAGATTACATGTGGCTCAAACATTTATACTCGGCTATCACGTGTATACTTTGTACAAGCTCTTAATGCTAGAGCAATGTTTAATGTCAAAGCGACAGTTTGAAGAACAAGAGAAAATATTTGTTTAAGAAATGTGTGTCTTCATTGTATAACAGCATTCGTGTGTATCATCTTTTCAATTTCCTTTCATAAAAATCTTCATTTCATAGGGACATTGAATGAATTTTTGTTTTCCAATTTGACAAATGAAAAAATGCTATTTTATGAATACATTTTTTAAATATTTCTAAATGTTGAGTTATCACTAATCTCCTGCTTTATATTGTAATAGGTCACTTAGCTTATTGATACATAAATGGTCTGGTTAAATTTTACAATGGTTTGATGGTCATGTAGCCACAGACTGCATATAACAGAAAAATATATCCCCTTAATTAGTAGCTCAATGTGTAGGTGCTACAGCAGAAGAAGCATGCAATCCATTTTTCAATCTTAAGTGAAAGCACACTGTATGTGCTTATCATTAATTACAAGTTTCTTGTAAATCTGATTGTGTCGTTACATGTTGACAACCACTGATTGGTTTTCTGAGCAATGAATCAAATTAACATCAAAAATTTGTTTTTGCAAACTCTACATCAGTACATGAATACCATTGTCAGTTAGCACTTAATCTGCTATAAGGTTAGAGGCCATGGGGGCGCTGAGTGGTTGAGGCCTCTGACCGTCTTTATCACTTGCCACCACCTCGGGGTCGGGGGTTCAAGGTCCGTATGGAGCAGTGGCCAGGTATTGGCCATAGGTTGGTAGCTTTTCTCAGAGAACTTCTGGTTCCCTCTAACATCCAAACGTGGCACACTCTTAAATGACCCTGGTTAATAATAAGGTATAAAGCTAAAGTAAATTGCATTTGTGAACTAAACTGACATTAGGGGAAGTTTCACTTAGATTAATTAATCAAATGGTGAGCTGGGAAGGTTTGAAAATGTCATGACTTGATAGTCATGTTTTAACTTTTTTAAAACTTATTTAATTGAATATATTGTATTTGTTCTTTTCTAGTGATCTCAAAGTCATCATTCTAGGAGACTACAATGTGGGGAAAACTTCCTTCATTTGTCGTTACATTGATGGAACCTTCCAAACTAAGGAGCCTGTAAGCATTTTCTTCATTCAAATTCCAAACAAAAATGGGTAATGTACGAGAATTCCTGTTGATAGGTACCTTAAATATAGTTGGATATGAAATGTGTGAAAACGTAGAAAACTTCACACATTCTATGTTTTATTGCGTACTATAAAACCTCACACATTTTATGTTTTATCGTATACTATAAAACCTCACACATTTTATGGTTTATCGTATACTATAAAACCTCACACATTTTATGTTTTATTGTATAATATAAAACCTCACACATTTTATGTTTTATTGTATAATATAAAACCTCACACATTTTATGTTTTATCGTATACTATAAAATCTCACACATTTTATGGTTTATCGTATACTATAAAACCTCACACATTTTATGGTTTATCGTATACTATAAAACCTCACACATTTTATGTTTTATCGTATACTATAAAACCTCACACATTTTATGTTTTATTGTATACTATAAAACCTCACACATTTTATGTTTTATTATATACTATAAAACATCAAACATTTTACGTTTTATTGCATGCTACAAAACCTCACACATTGTATGTTTTATTGTATACTATAAAACTTCACACATTTTATGTTTTATTGTATACTACAAAACCTCACACATTCTGTGTTTTATTGTATACTATAAAACCTCACACATTCTGTGTTTTATTTATGTTGTATACTATGAACATTCACTCATGCATTTTTATTCTTATCCTTTTAGACGATTGGAGCTGCCTTTTTTCTCAAGCAGTGGGGACCTTACAATGTTGCTGTATGGGTAAGTATTACATACTGTCTTATTGATACTAACAGTATATATACCTGGTAAAAAAGGCTGATTTTATACATTTATTTACTGTAAGTAAAAAATATTTACTTTTATTATGCCAATTAGACTAAGCCCACTTATGCAGAGTGTGTGTTACTGCTCTAGATGGCCAGAGTATGTGTTACTAGCCTGGATGGGCAGAGTGTGTGTTACTGTTCTAGATGGCCAGAGTATGTGTTACTAGCCTGGATGGTCAGAGAGTGTGTTACTAGTCTTGATGGCCAGAGTGTGTGTTACTAGCCTTTGTGGTCAGAGAGTTTGTTACTATTCTAGATGACCATAGTTTATGTTACTAGACCAGCTGGATATTCTTATTCCCATGCATTTCTATGCTATACAATTCCACTCAGGCCAACAAGAATGCTCAAAGTCATTAACTTATGTTTGATTTTATGCTAAGAAACTTAACTGACGATGCATGACTGATGAGAATTATATAAATTTTCCAGGACACTGCAGGAGATGAGCGTTACACAGGATTATCTAATTTCTACTGCAGAAATGCAGGGGCAGCCATATTGGCATTTGACATGACCAGTGTCAGTTCATTTGAGTCATTATGGTAACCAATTTTTGAACTTTTGTAACAGATATGTCATTCTAGGATTTAGAATTGTTTAAGTATTTCAAATGATCAAAAGCTCATTTTCCCGTAGATATATCTAACATGAGGTAAGTTCTATCTTCTGTTAAAATCATTATTCTATCCTAAAGCTGTCATCTTTATTGATAGATCTCTGAGTTGCGACTTTTCAATTTTTAAGGCTGATTTGAACAACAAAATTGTGAAAAAGATGGTATTTTGAAAGGTAGATATTTGTGTTGTTTCTATTTCTCAAAAGTCCCATTTTCTAGTGACATACTAGCAAAACCTTTATACTTTGTAGTCTATTTCATATAACAGAAGAAAAAGACCCTACTAACCACTTGTATATGTTACTCATGAGATATCATAACAATTTGCCTTTGCTTAACTTTCCAACCCTAAGTGTAATGATATATATATAATTACACACAGCGTCATTTTGAGCATCAGAAGAAATCTATGATTTTTTTTTGTCTCAACAGGGCCAGATTTATTCCTCTTCTGGACTCTGCATTGGAGAACTGTATTAAAGTTGTGGTTGGAATGAAAATGGATTTGTTGGACAATGGAATGTCAAGGGAGATAACTGTTGAAGAAGCTACACGATTTTCAAGGGAGATAAACTCACATATTGATATAAGTAAATTACCAAAGGACCCCTACTTTGAAACGTCTAGTTTGAAAGGATCTTATGTTACTGAAGTGTTTGAATATATATTTAATCACTGTCTACCTTTGACAGAAGCGCAGAAGAAGCAGGCTGATAGTACTGGAATCGTGGATCTTTCAAAATCCCCAGCGACAACAAAGAGTGGAAAAAAATGCTGTTGATTTTCAATTCAGGGTGATCAATGTATGGTAATGTTGTATTTGTATGTTTGAGGATCACATTGGGAAGGAGTATATCTCCCCAACACATTGGTGTGAGGCTACATGTTATTTTTGAGCTGTCATTCCAATAGCCCTGATTCCATACACAAACTTGGTTTTTCATGTATGTTGGTCAAAGGCACTAAAATATGTTACTAAAAATAGAATAACAGTAACACTTTGGTTACCATGGAGTTACCTCTAATGGGCCTAATGTGACCATATATGGTACACAGGTTGAATGTTAGGAGTGAATGCATATGAATGTGTTTGCTATTTCTAGATGCAATTTCACATAATTTATTACTGAAAAATAGAATTAAATATACTTGTATTTTTTTCTTCCTTTTGAAATTGCCTGTCTGCCCAGATTGTTGGATACTTGTGAAATTATAAGTCTTGTTTGTGGGGGAAACAGTTCTATCACTTCTAGAAATTACAACCGCTAGTTCAAATATATTTTGCATAAAGTGCGGAGGTATGCCATTCTGATTGTGCCATACCAAACCAGGGAATAATGAAATTTTAGATATAGTGTCTGTATAGTGTACAAACATAAATATTTCCAACATGAGGACCAACTCAGGATTAGAAAATTAAATTTGAATAATACTGGTTATTGAACTGTGTGAAACACATCTTTACTACAAACATGTTGAATAGTATGTTTTAGGTAATGGGACCCCATAGATTAACACATGTTGTCTTTTATGTCTGGATGTGTGTGTCTCCAGCTGATGAACCTAGCATTCTGATTTGTGTCAACTTCACAAAGAGCCACTAGGTTTAAACATTAAACTCTTCAGTGCCCTGTGATTGATCTTCCTGCGACTCCTGGGACGAATGACACATACTTTTCTTAATTGTCCCATGCTGTTTATAGGGAATGACCTATTATTTGCCTTTTTTTGTGAAAATGTCCAAAAATGTATTGCTGAGTGTCCAAACTTAATATGACACAGTTGTGTTAAATTGTATGTTTTAATAAGAAAATAAGAAGTGATTGTGTCAGATTTTACTCTGTTCAGTAAGAGGTTGAATTTTCTATAAGTACATTCCACAGTTAAAATAAAAAGTAACAAGATGGTTGATTTTGTATTCACAGGTTGTTGTGCATTTACTCAAGATTGTCAAATATTCTTTATAAAAAGGTAGAATATAAAGGAACATATATCTATTAAAGCATTCTCCATGTTGATTAGATCCATCAGAGAAAAATTCTTTAATCACAAACAGAAAGTGATATTTGACGTTTAAGTGACAACAGTGTCCTTTTCATGTATCTGGGGCACTGGTGTATGAAGTGTACGAGATGACAATGAAATCGCAGGACTTTATAGCTGTATTTTAATGTCATGTACACAAAGGGGGAAAGTGTTGTGACAAGATGGCGATTAATTATAGGGAGAAACAGACGAAACTAAAAACTAGGTGATTTGGTATCAATATATTAGGGAGTTACAATGCACCATTCTATAAAATCATTATTTGCATCATTTTACCAAAACTGAGGGGAGGTATTTCAGTGTCACCTTACAACGAATCATTCACAAAGATTGGCAAAAATATTCAAAGGCAATTCAAGAGGCTGACAGTATTTTTCATGCAATGATTAGTTTTGTCTTGTTCCCATGATGGATGTCAGGTGCTTGTATTTCTTAGTGGCCTGTCAACAGGCATGGTTTCTTTGTACAACATAACAAACTGAGTTAGGCACGAGTTGTTTGTTGTGATAACTTGTGACTAATCTTGTTTGTTTTATTGAACAAACAAACTTGTTATAAATTAGAGGAACAAACCATCCATGATAAGCATCCATTAAATAATTCAGCAAAAAATGTGTTAAACTTAATAGCAAGAGTTTTCAATCTGAGGTTTTACCAAGAAACTGTGTCATTGTTACAAAAAAAATGACAAAATTTGCTCGAGTGTTACTGCTTCCAAAATTTCCCTTACAAAAAACACTGTTATCTCGGCTCTAAGGTGAGAATATTGCACATAGAAACACAGACAGTGTATCCATGTTTATGATGTAGTTGTGAAGTTCAAAAAGAATGTGATACTACAAGTAAATTTGTTTCAAACATAGATTACAAAACATTCTTGTAAAATATGACAGTAGACTATTTTCAAATATCAGTACTGTGCAACCTATTACATTTTTTTCCAAGCACCACAAGTATCACTACCATTGTCATTTATTTACGGAGTTATTGCCCTTTTGTGAATTGCAGTTATGTCAATAATTGAAATCTGCCATTATCTTTCGATTTTCATCAAATTAATTTATGATTGTCTGTTTTGTTATAACACATTTGCAGGGCATTTTCAGACTCTTTAGTTCTTCAAGAAAATGCATCATCTTGTTTTTTACTTTATCGTAATCTTTCAGTTAAACAATCATTTTTCTGTGGTGCTGCTGAAGTTTCACTTTAATTTGTGTTTAGATTAACAATAAGCATTCACTATTGTGTGCTTGTGTATGAAGATAACATTTCTTTCTTTGATTTACAGATATACCTCGTTAAAAGAGGGCATTTTTAAAAATCAATGCATAAGAGGCACTGTTTTATCTATTTTCTAGAATGAAATAGTTGAAGTAATCTCCTGAAATTTAAATATATTTGTGATTTTTTTTTCTGCCTTGTACAGCTGTGTCTGTAAACGTCATGTTTAACTCACCATGACTGAATTCTTAAAGAGAATATGATTTATGAGACATATATATTTAACCTACATTTACCCGATGGTGGGTTATCCAAATCTTTATCAAAATTATTTGTAAGTTCCTCTTGATCTCAAGTTGTGCCTGTTTGATTCTGGGATTGACAAAAACACAAGATGGCCGCCAGGCAACTACTTGTATTTTGACAATGAATGTTTGTTTTTGCTATTCGCAAAGAAGTAATAAATATATCTTATTCAAATTTCATATGTAGATTCATCTTTGTTAATAATTTGTGCCTTTTTGGGTCTGATCAAAAAACGCAAGTGATTGACAGTTGACCATCTAAAATTTGTCAGCATTTTCTTCAGTTTGGTAATGTCAATAGAATAGAAGTTCTTATAACACGACCAGTAGAAGATTAGAGTGATGTTTCGATGACTATACGGTCACCGTCATCAGACAAATGACCAGTGTGGAGTATACTAGCACATCTATGACCAAGTGTTAAACAGAGCGTAGCTGAATCAACTACAATACATTGTTACCATTTTGTGTATTTTTTGGTCTACAGTTTGTTTACCATCTTATCACATTGTTTTCAACCATAGTGTACATAAGATAGGATTATTGTACAGCCGGTACATAAGGTAGGATTATAGTACAGCCGGTACATAAGGTAGGATTATAGTACAGCCGGTACATAAGGTAGGATTATAGTACAGCCGGTACATAAGGTAGGATTATAGTACAGCCGGTACATCAGGTAGGATTATAGTACAGCCGGTACATCAGGTAGGATTATATACAGTACAGCCGGTACATAGGATTATAGTAGGATTATATACAGCCGGTACATAGTACAGCCGGTACATAAGGTAGGATTATAGTACAGCCGGTACATCAGGTAGGATTATAGTACAGCCGGTACATAAGGTAGGATTATAGTACAGCCGGTACATAAGGTAGGATTATAGTACAGCCGGTACATCAGGTAGGATTATAGTACAGCCGGTACATCAGGTAGGATTATAGTACAGCCGGTACATAAGGTAGGATTATAGTACAGCCGGTACATAAGATAGGATTATAGTACAGTCGGTACATAAGGTAGGATTATAGTACAGTCAGTACATAAGGTAGGATTATAGTACAGCCGGTACATAAGGTAGGATTATAGTACAGCCGGTACATAAGGTAGGATTATAGTACAGCCGGTACATAAGGTAGGATTATAGTACAGCCGGTACATAAGGTAGGATTATAGTACAGCCGGTACATAAGGTAGGATTATAGTACAGCTGTACATAAGGTAGGGTTATAGTACAGCTGTACATAAGATAGGATTATAGTACAGCCGGTACATAAGATAGGATTATAGTACAGCCGGTACATAAGGTAGGATTATAGTACAGCCGGTACATAAGGTAGGATTATAGTACAGCCGGTACATAAGGTAGGATTATAGTACAGCTGGTACATAAGGTAGGATTATAGTACAGCCGGTACATCAGGTAGGATTATAGTACAGCCGGTACATAAGATAGGATTATAGTACAGCCGGTACATAAGGTAGGATTATAGTACAGCCGGTACATAAGGTAGGATTATAGTACAGCCGGTACATAAGGTAGGATTATAGTACAGCGTGTACATAAGGTAGGATTATAGTACAGCCGGTACATAAGGTAGGATTATAGTACAGCCGGTACATAAGGTAGGATTATAGTACAGCCGGTACATAAGGTAGGATTATAGTACAGCCGGTACATCAGGTAGGATTATAGTACAGCCGGTACATAAGATAGGATTATAGTACAGCCGGTACATAAGGTAGGATCATAGTACAGCCGGTACATAAGATAGGATTATAGTACAGCCGGTACATAGGTAGGATTATAGTACAGCTGGTATTTAAGGTAGGATTATAGTACAGCCGGTACATCAGATAGGATTATAGTACAGCCGGTACATCAGATAGGATTATAGTACAGTCAGTACATCAGATAGGATTATAGTACAGTCGGTACATAAGGTAGGATTATAGTACAGCCGGTACATAAGGTAGGATTATAGTACAGCCGGTACATAAGGTAGGATTATAGTACAGCCGGTACATAAGGTAGGATTATAGTACAGCTGGTACATAAGGTAGGATTATAGTAAAGCCGCTACATCAGGTAAGATTATAGTACAGCCGCTACATAAGGTAGGATTATAGTACAGCCGGTACATAAGGTAGGATTATAGTACAGCGTGTACATAAGGTAGGATTATAGTACAGCTGGTACATAAGGTAGGATTATAGTACAGCCGGTACATAAGATAGGATTATAGTACAGCCGGTACATAAGGTAGGTGTACAGCCGGTACATAAGGTAGGATTATAGTACAACGTGTACATAAGGTAGGATTATAGTACAGCCGGTACGGTAACGGTACATCAAACTTCTATTGGTGTGTTATAAGATTATATAACACAACAAATTTTTAACTTTGCCATATAACACAAAATACAGGTAGAATGTGTACCATATAACACAACAAACAGGGGACATGTGTTCCATATAACACAACAAACAGGAGACATGTGTGCCATATAAAACAACAAACAGGAGACATGTGTGCCATATAACACAACACACAGGGGACATGTGTGCCACATAACAACAAACAGGAGACATGTGTGCCATATAAAACAACAAACAGGAGACATGTGTGCCATATAACACAACAAACAGGGGACATGTTTGCCTCATCACAACAAACAGGAGACATGTGTGCCATATAACACAACAAACAGAAGACATGTGTGCCATATACCACAACAAACAGGAGACATGTGTGCCATATAACACAACAAACAGGAGACATGTGTACCATATAACACAACAAACAGGGGACATGTGTGCCATATACCACAACAAACAGGAGACATGTGTGCCATATAACACAACAAACAGGAGACATGTGTGCCACATAACAACAAACAGGAGACATGTGTGCCATATAACACAACAAACAGGGGACATTTGTGCCATATAACACAGCAAACAGGGGACATGTGTGCCTTATAACACAACAAACAGGGGACATGTGTTCCATATAACACAACAAACAGGAGACATGTGTGCCATATAACACAACAAACCGTTGACATGTGTGCCATATAACACGTGTGCCATATAACACAACAAACTGGGGACATGTGTGTCATATAACACAACAAACAGGAGACATGTGTGCCATATAACACAACAAACAGGAGACATGTGTGCCATATAACACAACAAACAGGAGACATGTGTGCCATATAAAACAACAAACAGGAGACATGTGTGCCATATAACACAACAAACAGGGCACATGTGTGCCATATAACACAACAAACAGGAGACATGTGTGCCATATAAAACAACAAACAGGAGATATGTGTGCCATATAACAACAAACAGGAGACATGTGTGCCATATAACACAACAAACAGGGGACATGTGTGCCATATAACACAACAAACAGGAGACATGTGTGCCACATAACAACAAACAGGAGACATGTGTGCCATATAACACAACAAACGGGACATGTGTGCCATATAACACAACAAAAAAGGGATATGTGTGCCATATACCACATCAAACGAGACATGTGTGCCATATACCACAACAAACAGGAGACATGTGTGGCATATAACACAACAAACAGGGGACATGTGTGTCATATAACACAACAAACAGGGGACATGTGTGTCATATAACACAACAACCGGAGACATGTGTGCTATATAACACAACAAACAGAAGACATATTTGCCATATAACACAACAAACAGGAGACATGTGTGCCATATAACACAACAAACTCGGGACATGTGTGGCATATAACACAACAAACGGGACATGAGTGCCATATAGCACAACAAACAGGGGACATGTGTGCCATATAGCACAACAAACAGGAGACATGTGTGACATATAAAACAACAAACAGGAGACATGTGTACCATATAACACAACAAACAGGGGACATATGTCCCATATAACACAACAAACAGGAGACATGTGAGCCCTATAACACAGAGCAAACTGGGGACATGTGTGTCATATAACACAACAAACAGGGGACATAAGTGCCATATAGCACAACAAACAGGGGACATGTGTGCCATATAGCACAACAAACAGGAGACATGTGTGCCATATAAAACAACAAACAGGAGACATGTGTTCCATATAACACAACAAACAGGGGACATGTGTGGCATATAACACAACAAACAGGAGACATGTGTGCCATATAACACAACAAACAGGAGACATGCTTGCCATATAACACAACAAACAGAAAATATGTGTGCCATATAAAACAACAAACAGGAGACGTGTGCCATATAACACAACAAACAGGAGACATGTGTGTCATATAACACAACAAACTGGGGACATGTGTGCCATATAACACAACAAACAGGGGACATGTGTGCCATATAACACAACAAACAGGAGACATGTGTGCCATATAACACAACAAACGGGACATGTGTGCCATATAACAACAAAAAAGGGATATGTGTGCCATATACCACATCAAACGAGACATGTGTGCCATATAACACAACAAACAGGGGACATGTGTGTCATATAACACAACAAACAGGGGACATGTGTGTCATATAACACAACAACCGGAGACATGTGTGCTATATAACACAACAAACAGGAGACATCTTTGCCATATAACACAACAAACAGGAGACATGTGTGCCATATAACACAACAAACTGGGGACATGTGTGGCATATAACACAACAAACAGGGGACATGATTGCCATATAGCACAACAAACAGGGGACATGTGTGCCATATAGCACAACAAACAGGAGACATGTGTGACATATAAAACAACAAACAGGAGACATGTGTACCATATAACACAACAAACAGGGGACATATGTCCCATATAACACAACAAACAGGAGACGTGTGCCCTATAACACAACAAACTGGGGACATGTGTGTCATATAACACAACAAACAGGGGACATAAGTGCCATATAGCACAACAAACAGGGGACATGTGTGCCATATAGCACAACAAACAGGAGACATGTGTGACATATAAAACAACAAACAGGAGACATGTGTGACATATAACACAACAAACAGGAGACATGTGTGGCATATAACACAACAAACAGGAGACATCTTTGCCATATAACACAACAAACAGGAGACATGTGTGCCATATAACACAACAAACTGGGGACATGTGTGGCATATAACACAACAAACAGGGGACATAAGTGCCATATAGCACAACAAACAGGGGACATGTGTGCCATATAGCACAACAAACAGGAGACATGTGTGCCATATAAAACAACAAACAGGAGACATGTGTTCCATATAACACAACAAACAGGGGACATGTGTGGCATATAACACAACAAACAGGAGACGTGTGCCCTATAACACAACAAACAGGAGACATGTGTGGCATATAACACAACAAACTGGGGACATGTGTGGCATATAACACAACAAACAGGGGATATGTGTGCCATATAACACAACAAACAGGAGACATCTGTGCCATATAACACAACAAACAGGAGACATGTGTGCCATATAACACAACAAACAGGGGACATGTGTGCCATATAACACAACAAAAAAGGGACATGTGTGCCATATACCACATCAAACGAGACATGTGTGCCATATACCACAACAAACAGGAGACATGTGTGGCATATAACACAACAAACAGGGGACATGTGTGTCATATAACACAACAAACAGGGGACATGTGTGTCATATAACACAACAACCGGAGACATGTGTGCTATATAACACAACAAACAGGAGACATCTTTGCCATATAACACAACAAACCGGAGACATCTTTGCCATATAACACAACAAACCGGAGACATCTTTGCCATATAAAACAACAAACCGGAGACATCTTTGCCATATAACACAACAAACAGGAGACATGTGTGCCATATAACACAACAAACAGGGGACATGTGTGCCATATAACACAACAAAAAAGGGACATGTGTGCCATATACCACATCAAACGAGACATGTGTGCCATATACCACAACAAACAGGAGACATGTGTGGCATATAACACAACAAACAGGGGACATGTGTGTCATATAACACAACAAACAGGGGACATGTGTGTCATATAACACAACAACCGGAGACATGTGTGCCATATAACACAACAAACAGGAGACGTGTGCCATATAACACAACAAACAGGGGACATGTGTGTCATATAACACAACAAACAGGAGACATGTGTGCTATATAACACAACAAACAGGAGACGTGTGCCCTATAACACAACAAACTGGGGACATGTGTGTCATATAACACAACAAACAGGAGACATCTTTGCCATATAACACAACAAACCGGAGACATCTTTGCCATATAACACAACAAACAGGAGACATGTGTGCCATATAACACAACAAACAGGGGACATGTGTGGCATATAACACAACAAACAGGGGACATGAGTGCCATATAGCACAACAAACAGGAGACATGTGTGACATATAAAACAACAAACAGGAGACATGTGTACCATATAACACAACAAACAGGAGACGTGTGCTCTATAACACAACAAACTGGGGACATGTGTGGCATATAACACAACAAACTGGGGACATGTGTGGCATATAACACAACAAACAGGGGATATGTGTGCCATATAACACGACAAACAGGAGACATCTGTGCCATATAACACAACAAACAGGAGACATGTGTGCCATATAACAACAAACAGGAGACATGTGTCCCATATAACACAACAAACAGGAGACATGTGTTCCATATAACACAACAAACGGGAGAGGGGAGGGGTACACATAGTTACCTATAAGATTGTAAGTCATATAAAACATCAAAAGAATGGGAGTTGACGTTGTTCATTGGAAGATTGCTTTTAAGAAAGGAAGGGTGTTACATGTAATGGACATCAGACAGACATTACTGGTCATTATGTAAAGAAGTAAACTGATGGTTGTGTGTAACACTGTACAGCTAGAGGAAAAGGGTTGTAAGGAATTATCTGTAGTAATCTCAGTCATATATAAATGAAAGTGATATGAGAGTCAGTGTATTTACATTCTTAATTGTGTCTTAACATCATGATTATCTGGGAATAAAACTGTGATATCTCTGAGATATCAACGTTCATGTAAAACACATTTATTGTATCATACAGTAACTGCCTACAATGTTTCGATTATTCTGTTTACTTCTGTATCAGATAGTTCTCATTAAGAAGTAACAACTCTCTGTAGTTTACACTGTAAAACATTATGGAATCTTAATGAAAGTGAAAGGTGACTAAAAGAAAATTAAACATTATTTAACATTATTTAGAAAATATTTAAATTCCAAATGATTATATAAAATGTGATGCTTTAAATTAGATATTCATTTGACATAATAAAGATAATTTGTAAGTATTAATGGGAAATTTGTTTAGTCAAAGCATATTACTAAGACATACTTTTTATCTATAGAGTGTACATGTGTACAGTATATGATGATACAATTAACATTGTGGTGATTTTAACTTAGTAACATTTGACAATGAACCAAAACTTTATTCACAAATTTGTGTCTTGCGGTCAAAAGTTGAGGGTTCCCAAATACATGATAACACTTCCTACTGGAGACAGATACTTTTCCTGGTATTTCGGACCATAATATTTACATAAGGATTGGAACTTTGAGAAGGTTGATCAAACGAAGGGGTATACCATGTATATTGATACTGAGTAAAATTATAGATAATGTAGATATAAGTCTTTGGTTACGATTGGTGAACGGAAAGTATCGAACAAAGGACGAGGGTTCAAATCGATATTGCTACCATCAGCATCACAAGTCTTAGCAGGACGGGACATTTTAGTTTAAATCAGTTTTTGGCTGTGGTCTATCTAATTCTACATTTGCATGGAAGTTGCTATTCACTAGTGTATCTTTTGTAAACTCTTTTCTCCAATGTATCGAATTCTGAATTTGTATTAAAAGGTGTTATTCACTTGTGTGTCTATACAAATCCTAATTTCTGTATATATTTGTGTAAATACTATGCTGTAAGTATGAAATGATATGCTGTAAGTAACACACATGAAACGATCAATGCTAATTTAATGCGTAAAATATTCAAAAGTTCAACCATCTTTGTCCATAGAATTTTGTTAACAATGTTAACTGTATCTGTCTCTGGGCCGTCAGCGTTCATTGATGATGCCTTCCATTGTTGTTGTGCCGTTATGGAGTAGTAGTCTGAAAAAGTTGTAATATTAGATAGTACATGATCAATAGAAAACTAGACAAAATGTCATTTTAAACGTATCCTACCTGTAACTATGTAAAAGTCACACGTCTTACATACAAATACGTCAGTTCAAGTTTGACGAATGTTTTGATAATCGTTGGTACAAAATTTTTCGATTACAAAACTCGTATTCAGAAATGCTCTTCACTTGTGTGTCTATCGTGCGAAATTTTATGTTCAGCTATGGCGCTTACCACGAATTTCTGTTAAATCTAGCTAAACATAGATAAATAAGGCAGTAGCACGTGTTTTTATCCCTGTTTAGGTAGTGAACGTTCACATGACTTTTTATAACGGATCCCTAATGCCAAGCCTATAAATTGTGGCTACCTCGCAACGTGACAGATATTTTCCAAAAGATTAAGCATGGCGTCGTACGTGTGTATGGCCTCAAGTAGAATCAGCGCAAGTCCAATGGAGAAAACACACAAGAGTATATAGTACGTACAGACATACACAGAATCAGAACTGATTAAGGAAGAAACATTTGACTTGAATCACTAAGTGCGCGATATTTTTGTAAACTTTACAAAATGTTATTTACCTTTGTGTACTTCAACTCAAATCCTCTCAGCTCAGTTTCATCATTTGAAACAAATCTGACTTTTGTGACCTTTGACCTTGACACGATGGTAGCGTTATATAGATCGGACATCGCGCAATGTCTCCCGATTCCTTCAATGTCAACGTAGTCGAAAAGACAGTCGGGTATCCGCTGAAGGTCGAGATCATTGAAGGTCAAGGTCAATTCGTAACCATCTTCAATGATGAGGTTCCATTCGCACACAGTGTCCGGTTCATATTGATTTGGATAATGAGGGCTTCTCAAGACCCCTGGTTCCTCCACAGTGATGTTTCTGCCACAGACTTAAACAGATCATACAGCCAAGATTGGGACAAGATTGTTACAAGATTAGGACAAGATTGGGACAAGATTATGACAAGACAGGGACAAGATTGGGACAAGATTAGGAGCTGCCATTTCAAATAAGAATAATGCACTTTCTGAGTGAAAAAGACAAAACATAAACCGACAGCCCAACACATATATGTGCATATTTTACGAAGTGCTCAAAATTTCACGAGAACAAAAAATTATTGACTTTTTCAATATAACATAATTTGGTTCTTCAAACGTTTTTATTTACTACACTTTGACCTTTGATTACCTGCTCGAACATTGGTCTTGTAGTTTGTACCCTTGGCATTTACACCACCTATCACATCCACTGTTGCCATGTTGATCTCATACTGTCGCCCGTAATGTGTGCCTGTTGCGATCGGAAAGAAGTTTCTATGAGAGTCTAGCCGTATTTCGGACATACGGTGTTCCGGAATAAGTCGGTACCTAAGATTGTAGTGGTATGAGGTTCCCAGTTTTCCCTCGGGAGCCTCCCAGAATAACTGAATAAGACCAGGCACAGACAAAGCTGTGACATTTTTCGGCGTCTTCCCTGAAACAAACGCAAGAATACTATTATCTATTGAATTACGGACTTAATTTGCACCACCATCAATATTTTAAGATTTGTTCCGCCTGAATTTTTTTTCTAACTGGACTTCTAGGTTTCAACACTTTGCAACCCTCACATAATTCAATAACTGCTTTTAAATTTTAATTGGTGGTGTAGCAAAGCTTACTTTGATATGTGTTCAGTGTGATAAATACATTTTGCCCCGGTTATGTTAGATGGATAACCGAAAGAACCAGCATGAATTTAGTCCATTGTGTACGTAAAGTGTTTTGGCAAAACATTCCATAAAGGTAAAAGTATTCTTTCTATTCATTCTGTTCGAATGTTTCTACTTTTGCATTTAAGTTTGTTGCTAGGAAACCATTTTTGCTTCACAAAATTGTCATGCTATACATGTTGTGGTTTTTAATATTTATCTTGAACAAGGAATACCAGATAAATTAAGGTGATGAATGTAAGAATAATTTGATTGACAGTGTGTACTTCCAATAAATTACCGTCAACGCTGAGAAAAACCTTGAATCCGCCTGGTTTATTTGCCGCGCCAGCTTTGGAATAAAACATGATCTTATTGGAGGATTTGTCGCTGAGAATATATCCGTTCTGAGGTAGAGTGTCACAGAACATCATGTCATTGACCTTGACAAAATCACCATTACACCCATCGCTTCTAACGAAATCGAGGGCAACAAACTCAACCTTTAACCTTTGACCTAGGGGAATATTGATTATCCACTGACAAGCGACGTCCGGCTCGTAATATCCTTGGCCGAAGTATGGAGAGTGAATCTTGTCGAAGGTTCCATTTTCTTTCAGGCTGATTTCATAGCCACAAGCTGAAACACATTTACAGTTAATAAACATTTAAACTTCTTTTTTTTTAATTTTAAAATTTATTCAAAACTACATTCTTGATTCTAAAGTTTCTATCTTAATCATTAGTCAATATAATTTGATAATCTGCTGACCTTGTGATTACTCTATACTTGTTTATATATGGAGGCCTTTCATAAACTGTGCCTGATGCCCAATTCCTTATGTTATTAAGATCCTGACAATGACATATTCTGAAGTGAAAATCTTCCTCCAAACATCATTACACACTGCATTCATTACCATGGTTACCTGTTTGAGCCATGAATTATTTTGATAACGAGTTATATGTCAGATATCATCGAACTACCTGGTCTCATTCTTCAGGTATCAACATGAAAATCTTTCTTCTCACGTTTTGCGTCGTTTCATCGAATTTGAGTCAGAATATTATGTTGGCATGTCGGAATTTTCTTTGCTTTTTGAGGAATTGGATATGCTAGAAAAGCATACCTCAGAATACCTCTTAGCAGTATTCTTACAAATTGTCAATGATCTCTGTGGTTCCTGTCTCCTCTCCCACCCCGTTTTTATCTTTGCTTTCCGATTGGAAAAGGTAACTTGGTATTCGACATTGCCGAGTAATAGTTCCTAATATTATGTTCACTTTAAATTTGAATATTTTATGTACATGCTGGGTACTAATGCTTTTTTTCTGATACCGAAAAATATTCATACTTGATTATATTACATGTCTTAATTTTCAAAATTGATAACGTAGTCACATCAAAAGTTGATATAGAGAATTCGTTATCATGACCTACCTGAATATGTGCTAATGATGTCAGAAGTTGGGCCCTCTCCCCTTGCAGTTTGCGTTGCTATGGTAACGTGGAACTTTCGCCCGGGATGATACAGAGTTGATATATAATATGTACGTTTTGTAGGATCAATTTGTACTTTGATCCTCTTCCCTCCTGTCTGCCAGTATGCCAGTATGAACGCCTTTAAATGAAAAAAAAAATTGTTGAAAAATGTAAGCTACGTTTGCAAAGAGACACTTTCAAGTTTTGTACATGTATAGGAACTATCATCGTCTGTATATTACTCATGTCAGGCTGTTCGTCAGTTATATATAATTAACTAATGACATATTGTGATCGTCCAACGTCAGCGCATGAGGCAAAATTTGTAACTGATATTTTCACGTGCGATGCAGAGCTGAGGATATTAGGAAGCAGAAAACGGTTATATTATAATAATTATAATAATTGCTTTTTTTCACAATATTCCTGACTACATGCATTCTTTATCCAATGAGATGAGTGTTTTACATAGTTAAAACTGACAGGTACCACCAATACATATATTTATGTGGAAAAAATCGTATTAATTAACAACAAACCACATTTGTGATTTGAATACTTAAATAATATCCTTTTAACTACCATTGTTATAAATCAGTGATATACAGTATATATTTATACATGTGTTGTACATTTTGAGGTTACTACAGCTTTGATGTTCATAGGCGTGACATTTTCTATCGCAAACCGAAATGAATGATGACCGAGGAGGGAATGGATTCACAAATGTGTACATATATAATCACAATGGTACATTAAACTATAGAACGTAAACAAATTTTTTTTTTCTTACGTGTACCTTTATTGTGTGTTCCGTGCAGGGTTTGGTCCAAAACACGCGCAAGGAGTTTTGAAAGACAACGGCGTCAAACGTACTTGGGGCACCACTTATTCCTGGTGGCACTGCAAAACAGTCGTTCATGAAAATAAATATCACAATTATCTAACCAATGGTTAACGTATTTATATGTTAAACCTATAGATTATGGTCTAGATTTGTTTGTTGGACGTGTTTTATAAAAAAAAAAGAAGTTTAAAGAAATTTATATACTTTCATTGTGTAGAATATAGACAGGTGTTGTTTGTTGTAGTAAACATTAAATATGATGTAGATTTATCTAAAGACTTCCGATACGATAATGAAAGTGACCATTCAGAAATGTTACATTGTTACATTATTATTTAACAATATGTTTATAATTTTGAATTTTAGATAAAAATATAGTTGTATTTTCTATATCCGATATACAATGATAACTTAAGTACTAGCTAATTCAAACGTTGTATATCTGTGTGAATATTTATGTAGAATTTTCAAAAAATAAATATTATGTAAATGCGGTCCGCATGCCTTATGATACATTTCATTTTCTTGTTTTTTTTCCCTTTTTTTCTTTTGTGGTTATAATTAATGGATTTTTTTCATATAAAAGCTTCTTTAATTGATATATCAAGTCCATATTTTCAGTCAGGGATATATCGGGATTTTGATCGTGTATGTGTGTGTTTTAACTGGAAACGGTTTTTCAAGTCAAAATGACGTCATTTGCTGATGGAAATACGAAAACAGTAAAAATAATCATGCTGCAAGAAGTATGCAGTATAGAAGTATAATAGCCTAATTTCATTACTTAGGATAAAATTATAAGACAGCGACATGTAAAACTAATATTTATCTTACACAGAGGGTCCGACTGGCATGGTGTGATCGGTACACTGGAGGGGGTGTGACTTATCAAAGAGGATAATATTGTCGATGGTGTGGAGTCCGAAGTTGGTTTTTGTGTTCTTCCGAATGTTGTCGTTTTAGCTGGTGTTGACGTTGTTGTCGGTAGCAATGTTGTCGTTTTAGCTGGTGTTGACGTTGTTGTCGGTAGCAATGTTGTCTTTTTAGCTGGTGTTGACGTTGTTGTTGGTTGTGATGTTGTCGTTTTAGCTGGTGTTGACGTTGTTGTCGGTAGCAATGTTGTCTTTTTAGCTGGTGTTGACGTTGTTGTCGGTAGCAATGTTGTCTTTTTAGCTGGTGTTGACGTTGTTGTCGGCATTAATGTTGTCTTTTTAGCTGGAGTTGACGTTGTTGTTGGTTGTGATGTTGTTTTAGCTGGTGTTGTCGTTGTTGTTGGTTGTGATGTTGCCGGTTTGACAACTGTAGTTATTCTAGGCATGGTGACTGATGACGCAGCGATCGTCGATGGTGTTTGCGTTGCTCTGAAAGTAGTCTTTGTAACCAGCCTGGGCGTAGTTGGTGATTTTGATGTTGTTGTAACAGATGTAGCTGTGTCTTGAACCATCCACACAGGTTTGGGAGCATCCTCTGTTTAAGTAATATTGGTACCATATAGAGTTAAAATATGAGAAGATAAAGACTAAAACACATAAACTGAACTAAAAATAAATCAAAATGAAATAAATCTAAACTGGGCCACTTAAACACTCCTTAGTATTGCATGTATTTTGGGAAGTCAGAAGAAACACTCCTTAGTATTGCATGTATTTTGGGAAGTCAGAAGAAACAATTCTTAGTATTGCATGTATTTTTGAAAGTCAGAAGAAACACTCCTTAGTATTGCATGTATTTTTGAAAGTCAGAAGAAACACTCCTTAGTATTGCATGTATTTTTGAAAGTCAGAAGAAACACTCCTTAGTATTGCATGTATTTTGGGAAGTCAGAAGAAGCGTATAAAGTGAATGTTGTAATGATCTGTGTGTACCTGTCGTGCATCCGTAAAGTTTATTAATCTTCCAAATATCCACGGCACTAAACCCGTCTCTTTGGCCCATTGTACCTTTATCGTCGAACAGGGCTTTAAGGGTAGGGTTACCGTTCTTGGAGAAGGTGGTGGCGCCATAGTGCATAACACTTCCGTAATCATAAGGAGAATCCAATGTGTTCAGGATGTTGCGAGACTCGGCGACGAAGTCACGATCTTTTCCTGAATCATAAATAGATATATGTTGATAAATAGATCATATGTATGTATAATCTTAAAACCCGAATTATGAGACCAATGGTACCATAACAATATAACCTATGAAAGGGTGAATGTACAAATTGACTCCATTTATCATCAGGCCTTTGCGACTAGTTGTCTCGTTAAAGCAGCCGTACACAAATGGAATTCTCAAATGGGGCGTATGTCCATATGACCATAGACCTGATGTTTCAAATGTGTTGAGTAGTTTTCTTTTTATAATATAAACACATGATTTCCAGAGTTGAAGGTTGATAAAGATTATGGAAAGTTTTCATGGTAGTAATAGTTTCATTGAGAAAACATGATTTCGTTGTGTGACATGATGTTGGACATGCTAGATTATCGAAGCCGAGAACGCTTACCCTTTTGGGACATGTGGTCTTATTCTTATTGTACTTTTTCATGGGTCACCGTATAAATCTATTGAGATTGGGTAAACATGTCGGGTTTTTTGCTGTTTATTTGTTCTTATTTTGTCCTAGTTTCATCAACTTTGGGTTTGAAATGAGAACCCATTGGCATATCAGTATTTTAACTGATGATTTAAATAGATGCATTGTAACGTCTTCTCCTCAGTCAGTTGATATATTCATGTGTTCAAATTCAATTGATATGGGACTCACCGTCCATAATATTATCCCATCGCACCTCAACATACTTGTCTCGGTCGTATCGACTCTGTTCATGGAAGAATCCTACCGCGTGCGTCAGTTCATGCATGACGACGCCTTTGTAGTAACAGTTGTCACCCAACGTCACATCCTGTCGGCCACCGTCGCGACCGATTGAGGAATGGCAGCTGCGAATCCAAGAAGGAATTAAGTTTTGTTAATAAAACTTTGTAGCTGGTTAGAAGGGTATATGTATTGTCATAAAGAAGGGGAATGATTGGAGCGTAGCCACGGGCAGCACGTTTTATTTATAGATAGAAATCTGATAAAAAAGTGAAAAACGAAAACAAACAGTGTAATGTTCCTCGTGTTTATGAATTTATGTAATAAAAACGTTTGCAAAATGTGTATGACTATATATGTACGTTTCATTCAAGTATAAGTCAAATTATATGAGGAAATCAACATACCCAAATCCATGAGTTATCCTGACATAGTCTTGTTCTTTGTTTCGTGGTACGTATTTTATACAGGAAACGTCTTCATTGAATTGTGCAATAGCCTCGTTAATCACCTTTAGTCCATATGTACCTAAGGGTTACAGTCGAACTGATGAAAATTTTATTTATTCATTTTTTTTTACTTCACAAACATATGTAACGATAATTTCCAATGTAGCACCTACTATCAATATATAGCTGTAGCGTTTATCTGCTGATTAAATATCAAATATTGTCTCGTATCTAATAAAAGGAAGATTTAAGAACACTGGCCGAATGTCCAGTTTGTGGACATCATATGCTTTCATTGTTACTTAAATTGTTTATTTACTGATAAAAACTCTTTTATGCTTTACTTTAGAACCTGACATTACTTACTTGGATTTACCCCAGTTTACCTGTCAGGTGTCGATGGAGCATAGTTAACGCTTACTGATCCTTGTGCTTTTCAGGATTCTCCGTGTAAAACTTTCTTTTGTTTAAAGTTTGCCCTAGTTTTATTGAATTATAACTTGGACTATGATTGTGTTGAAATGGTGTTATTTTCTTGGTATGTGTGAAATTAACGTATACGTGTATCGCCCTTTTTCCGAAATGAACACAAATGTGGAAAAAAAAAAAACAAGAAAATATCATCATGTCAACATAATACATTAGACATCATTCGTTAGAAGTTTGTTTTTAGTTATTGATGGTATGATTTCTATAACTACAAAATGATTTTGATAGAATTATTTCCGAATCTATATTACGGAGGTTAATGTTTACTCAACTGAAACCGTTTACGTCTATAGTATATGGAATGTGATGTCCTCCCCACTTCCAAGCGTCTATCCCGACAGCATTTCTTTTCTGAAATTAAAGACTTCTTTTTACATTTTTTAAAATTATTTTTATTTCATTTCCGTGTCACACATTTTTATACAATATATACAGTTTCTTTAAAATATATTCCATCATAGTAAAAATGCCCAGCCATTAATTGCCTTTTGAGACACGATTATATACATAAAATATACAGTTATACTTAGAACGGTTATCCATTATTTAAAAGTGACCGCCTTCTTCTCATCGCTAAGAATACATATTTTCCAAGATTAATTTGTAAAACATCACAATTCATTAAAACGATAAATTGATTTTCTGCACTCATGGCTTTAAAATGATCACATTAAACATTAAAGACTTCTTTTTACATCTGATGACTTCTAAATTAACGACACGACAATTTTCTGCTTTTAATGGTTTTTCTTGGTTTTCACGCTTGAAGAGTTTTTGACATCACGATCTGATCAATTTTACTTGTATATAAATTTCAAAAGATGACTGGGGGAGCTGGGTTAATGTCAGTGACGTCATTAAAGTATGACGTCATTTAACATTTCACATTGTGTTCTTTATTTCATTTCAAGAGTTTTCATGATCCTGACTATTTCGAGTTAACAAATTTGTTATCTCATTACAACAAAATGGTGTCCTGGGTAATTAGGACATTAAATTGGAGTCAGGGGAGATAACTATTGACAGCTAAAGATAAATAATTCTTTTGTTTTACAATGCCCTGCTACCAGTAAGAATGTTCGTACGATTAAATAGAATAAATATATACACTTATTATACAACACATTGTTTTCCGTGTGAGTTAACATGGATATTCATAAACGTGTAAGGTGCCTTTTACGTATTAATATCCTTGCTTACAGTGTGACATTTAGGGAGACAGCTTAAAGCATACATGTGTTGTAAACCTATATGTAGTATACTTGGCCCCACTTGTATAAAACATCTCAACTCGAGATTTCCTCAAGCCCAGATTTTCCTCAGCTAATATCTCCTTGAAAATATCTTGTATGAAAATTCCTCAAGGAATTTCAGGACATCCTAGCCGATGACTTCCTCCTGTTCCTTGAGAAAATTGTATACAAGCCGTTTTTGAGGAGATATCAGCTGAGGAAAATCTCGACTTGAGGAAATCTCAAGTTGAGATGTTTTATACAAGTAGGGCCAGAACATTAGAAAACTAATCATACTTAAGTAATTGTACATTTGTTATAATGAATTCTTGTTTTGATTTGAAACATTACATTTATCTATCGAGTAAAAAAGTATTTTCGTCTCTGAAACTTTGAAAGAAAGTGAGGAAATAGACTTACTCTGCTGGGAACAATGTCCCCTTCGATAAGATGACGTGAGTCATGTCCTGAAATATAGATATCATGTGATTTTTGTTTCTTGTTAGTTTTGTATTTTCTTTCTGTTTTGTTTTTAATGTTTGAATGAAATAAAGACAATGCGGATGAGGATTCCATAAAATCCAAAATTTCAACGAAATTGAAGATGATATATGGAATTCATTGGACAACTTCAGTATTTCAATATGTCTCGAGCCTTTTGGCACGTAACGTATCAAAAGTTCTCGAAGGTTTTATAATTCCGGATATTATTATATTCATCATATAACCTGTTTTCATGGGGGAAAAAACAAAACAAATAAACAAACAAACAAAAACTTTCAACTTTTCCTGTATAAAAATGTTATTACGAAGGTATCGTGGGATATTTGTGTTAAGAGAGTAGCTCTTTCAAGACTAGAGTAATAAATTAAAATGAGGGATGTTACACAGAATTACCTCCCTTCTCTCATATGTGTTGACTTTAATTTTTGATGGTCCGAAACCCGGACGTAGTACACCGAAAAATGGAGGAGAATCTGCTGCGAAATATAGTTCTGTATATATAAATATAACTTGATAATCTGAAGTTTTAGTTTTCAGTTACATTTGTTAAAAGAAAGGCAGCAAGTCCTACACTAAGACACAGAGCTGTATGTCTCGTTTGATTCTCGCGAGAGTGAAAAATGTCCATTGTAAATTGCACTTCCGGTAGCCAGATGTTGGCATAGCCAAAAAACTGAAATCCTTATCAGTATACATATTGACAAACATTTTGTTGAAACGTAAATTATTTCTAACCCAATATTAACGTATTCTTCTATGACTAAATATTGTCACAGCAGCGTTTGTGTTACGTTCATCTACTTTAACTCTGACAGAAAAATAGTATTTGGGTATTAAATGTCTCGTATATGCCTTATGGCAGTCAGTTCAATGATTATGCAAATCTTACGGTTTTTTAATGTTCGTCTTTTTATTTATACGATATATATATATTAGTATCAATACGATATATTACCTTATTTGTATATACTTTAGAAAAGATTGTCACTACTCTGAAATAAATATTGTCTAATGTAAAGTTTATGAAATATATAAACGATCAAATTAACATAAGATAATGCTCGTTATAGAGTTCTTATGAATCCTGTAGGTTGGACGTTATAAATAGTGATCTTCCTTACACACAACACTATAGTACGTGTTCAGTACATTTATAACTTACCAATGTTCGCTTTTACGATCAGATCCATTGCTGAAACCTTACTGGGATCTGTTGGCAGACCATGACTAGGTTCTAGGAAACAGGTGTACACCGAAAAAAGTCATTAATCAACATAATCATCACTTTAATGTTAATGTGAAAACTCTGTCACATTTGTTAACCCTTTCCTTCCTTACAAAATTGCAATGATCTCAAATCGGAATATACAGATAGAAATATACCTTACAATATAACATTTATCTTGTCATATATGCAAATTATACTATGTAAAAAGAAACGAAATGTGTCTCATTTCAATACATGATTATAAACTATTACGTTTATGCCAATAAAAAGTTGCAAAAGTGTTAAATCATTAAATAATATATAGACTAAAGTGACAGATACAGAGTCTCTAGACTAAACTGATATATTACCATGGTAGCCTACCTCTCAGTTTGACAGAGGCGTGAATCTGAAGTAAAAATATTGCAATTTTATTTTGTGAATGATTTCGTGGCACACGTGCAAGAAAAAAGTTGTTTCGGAGATATCACTGACAGATTTTCTGTTACGTCAAAGAGATCACAGAAGACTAACAATTGGATATAGTATATGTTATCAACGTACTACCAAATGGATTGTAAAATCAGAGACCATTCGGATTCTAAATCTACGGAATACGATAAAATTATATCAATTGTTGGATATCATTCGTTAAATAAAACTTCAAACATATTTTTTAAATTAGAATTAAATGAATTCAGTGAAGATTTTGTTACAGAAATATTGGTTTTAAACCTAAAAACATATCAATTTTGGAGCTTACCTTTCAGATTGCAATATCTGAGAAATACCCTGACTCATAAGATTCAGGCATATTTTCACTGTTACATCAACCTAATTTTTTGTTTAAGCAAATATCATCAGTTACTACAAAACTGATTTGATCTCTGTCGCTACAAAGAGTTGTAAAAGCGATGTATTGTCCGATGAATATCGTAACAACGTGGGGTTTATAACGGTCAATGATAAACAAATAACTACTTACCTCGAATTGTCGGATGAAAAGAAGAATAAAAAATGCTCTTGCATTTAGCAATTTAGACGTTTGGAGCATGGTTACCAAATGCATTTGCAAAAATCAGGTTTCGTAGACCCGAAATGAGAAGGTAGAAAACCAGACAAGTGATTCTGTTTTACATGTCCTCGCCAGCAAATAAAATGTCCATGTTCTAAGATAATTAAAGTTTCATTCGAACCAGCAAATACTAGGGAAACTAAGGTCGTCAGAGTTATCCTACATCACAGTCAACTTAGACACTGTTACTTGACTGTGATGGAAGTAAGGTTATGCTTGTGTATGCTGACAATGCTTTAATCACAACATAGTTTAAGGGTGAGGTACCCAAGATTAGTTTGAAAGTACTCGTCCTTTATTGACTTAAACGTTCATTGCCTGAATCTCTTTCACCTTGATAGGGTTCAGACGTCGCTGACTATTCCAACATATATCACTGAGATGATAAACGACATGTATAGCATGTTGAGATAGTAAACAATTAAAATTCGATAAATCTATAATTAGATGTATCTTGTGGGAGTGTTATCTGCCGCTCTCTATGAGAAGTGTTTCATACAAACAATGTTATCATGATAAACGATGTTTGTACTAATATCTGGCTTTATTAAGCAACAATTAGATAAATAAAATCAATGCAAATGTCATATTATCAATGACAACATTATATTCCGTTGGTTCGTTTACTCAGAAGGTCTGATTCTTAAAAATTTCCGATGCTTCGAAAAGCGATAATATTTGTTAGCTAGGCAGGACAAAATATATAATTAATGTGAATGAAACTACATCTTCACGGACATCATGTGGATATTTTTGGCAAAGAAAGGATACACTGTTGATAACGTCAATCCCAAACTCTTTATATGATTTTAAAATTAAATATTTACATTATCATCACTGTCCTTATAATCGACATATTATTACCAAGATGACGCGTCCTTTATAAAACACAACATAAAACACTGACATGCCAGCAGATTCACTAAAATTCAACGAGACAAAGGCAAACTATGAACAAGGGATTTTTTTACAAGGACACTTCAGAAAAAACACAAGGGGAATAAGTTCAAATGTTCCGGAAGTGTAAGCGTCTTCTGCTTCATCGACGACACTAGCGAGGTAAACCTTGGTCTGGGTCTGTCAAAGTAAGAAATGTTACGTTTCCAAATGAGAATACGTCAAGCTTAATATTGCACAAGCAAAACAATATCTCTCGACAAGATCATCATGACGACGATAAAACTGTCCGATAATCTTCATCAACCTGCATTTCACGAAACGCTATGCTGTGAGTATATCCGTCAGCTGTCGAAACGTCGAAACAGCTGCAGCATGAAAATACCGTGGACTGTGGAAGTAGGGATGTTGCTATCTATAAATTCTAAATTCACAATCTGGAAAGAAAAATCATGCTTATCAAAGAGTTATGAGGAAAGCTTTCATTTTGGGAAAAGATCGAGGTAATATCGAGATTGATGTTATTTTTTTCGTATTCTGATGGGTACATAAGATGATCATGGTCGATCATTTTGTTTAAATGCTGAACCGGTGTGATTAGTTCGTTGGAAAACGGAAAATCAAAACATGTAATTGAATTTGAAGTTAAAATTCACGTGACATGTCGGTATTTTCTTTGTTGATTTTTTTTAAAATCAGGACAACAAAAATATAATTAAAAAAGATACACTAAGCAATAGCTGTAGTTTAAAAAGAAAATCTCATGAGTTTCTGCAAAGTATCGCTGGGATGACATATACTTTTATTGACTGGTAATGTTAATGTTCATGGTAAACTGCTGGCGTACAACAAGATATTGATTTATATCTTACTACAAATGTCCTGTAGGTACACAGCTGCTTTATCAGTATTGATCACACCAAACATTTGTACAGATACATTTAAAATTAAGTGTGCAAGTAGACGCCTCCATAGCTCAGTGGTTAGAGCACTGGTCTTGTAAACCAGGGGTCGTGAGTTCGATCCTCACTGGAGGCTTCTAAAGCTTATATTTTGCTTTAATCATCTAGATGGATGGACCAGTGAAGTTATGCCATTCCGCGGGCGTCCGTCCGTAATATTTTTTCTACATATCGCTACTAGTCATGAGCAGTAGAGCTAATTATAACAAATTTGGTCTGAAGCATTCTTTGGAGAGCAGAGCAATTTTTGTATAAATAGTGGGTCTCAGCCTATGTGGGCCTGAGGGGCGGGTCCAAATAGAGGAAATTGATTAAATTCTTTAAATCCTACTTCTTTTGAAGGAATGACTAGATTTTGTTCAAATAAGTCTGAAGCATTCTTGGGTGAAGGGGAATCAATTTTGTATAAACTGTGGGTCTCCACTCCTGAGGTGAAAGGAGTGGGCTCAATATGGGAAATAGAGCAGATTCATTAAAATTCTACCCCTCTTGTAGGAATAGTTGCATTTTGTCCAAATTTTGGTAGAAGATTTCTCAAGGGAAGGGGTTGACATGCCTAGGACTGGCATTTTTAGTCAATGCAGCAGTGAAATATCAGTATAGTTTGTCAATTTTGCCAATGCAAGTTTTCAATCGCCAAAAAGTTTTCAATTTCGCCATTGGAGCTGATAGCGCCTAACAGCACCAGCCCTGTGAGAAACACTATCCAATGTTGGAAGTATTGAACCACACATCTTGAATCTTTGCCGGAGGTTGTATAGGCCAATGCTCTGAGATCTGATGTATCCCGGTAGGCAGAGGGATTACCAGGATTTCTAGAACATCTAGAATGAAGGGTGCCATAAATGCAAATAAAAAACAAAGATGGAGTTTTCTTACATTTTTTTAATTTCATGTTTGTTCATTTCAAAATAAAAGTTATTTTCTTCAACATATTTTTATCACTAAACTACATTATACACTAGTTTGTGAACATTTTCCTATATACATAGGTGTCTGACCCACTGAGTTTAGATATATTTCTGTGTGGTGAGGAGACAGCCAAACAATACATACCAAGAGATAAACATAACAACACAGAATGACCCGGTCCACGTACCAATTATCATCACTCTGATAGACCACATTGTTTATCATCAAGATTCACAGGGACAATGTCTACTGGCTGACATGGTCAGATCCAGGGACAATGTCTACTGACTGACATTATCAGATCTAGGGACAATCCCTACTGGTTAACATTATCAGATCTAGAGACAATGTCTACTGGCTGTCTCTGTCAGATCTAGGGACAATGTCTACTGGCTGACATTGTCAGATCTAGAGACAATGTCTACTGGCTGACATTGTCAGATCTAGGGACAATGTCTACTGGCTGACATTGTCAGATCTAGAGACAATGTCTACTGGCTGTCTCTGTCAGATCTAGGGACAATGTCTACTGGCTGACATTGTCAGATCTAGAGACAATGTCTACTGGCTGACATTGTCAGATCTAGGGACAATGTCTACTGGCTGACATGGTCAGATCCAGGGACAATGTCTACTGGCTGACATGGTCAGATCTAGGGACAATGTCTACTGACTGACATTGTCAGATCTAAGGACAATGTCTACTGGCTGACATTGTCAGATCTAGGGACAATGTCTACTGGCTGACATTGTCAGATCTAGGGACAATCCCTACTGGCTGACATTATCAGAACTAGAGACAATGTCTACTGGCTGACATTGTCAGATCTAGGGACAATGTCTACTGGCTGACATTGTCAGATCTAGGGACAATGTCTACTGACTGACATTGTCAGATCCGGGGACAATGTCTACTGCCTGACATGGTCAGATCCGGGAACAATGCCTACTAGTTAACATTGTCAGATATTCCCAAATAAATCAGAGAAAAGAATTGTTAGTAAACATGCATTGTATTCAAATTTCAGTTCAAGTTAAATTTCAAATATTGATCTGTACCAATTTGAAAAGACAATAAATATATAACATTTTGAATGAAACCTCTGATATCTCCATTCAACAGGAATTAAGAATACATTTTGATGTCCACATAACCTATCATTTAGTATTCCAAATATAAGAAAAAAAATGGCTATATTTAGCTTTTGTACCCAGAACTTCAAGAATATGCCTTTAATTTGTAACAGACATCACAACACAGATTCTTGAAAAAAAAAACTTTTTCATATGCATTCATTCAACCATGAAACAAAATGAGAAATACACCTTCCAATATATATCCTATCACCACCATATTAGGTTTTATAGCTGGAATCGCTACAGTATAAATTAACATTGTGGTCTGAACACAATAAAAACTACATCAGTACATCCCTGATACTGATGTTTCAAACCAATGTCATACTTCACACATACATATAGTGTCATACAGCTGATCATGTTAAGGTTAAGGTTAAATCACACTGGTATCTGTAACACATTCAGTCACCAAATACGTATCACAGTTAACACACATGCTATCAAACCACACAAATCATATGCAATATTTTTAATTTTTGGCAAAGTCTGTAATGGTTATTATATTTTTATATAATTTTTACAGGCAAGTACAATGTCAAACAGCTTAATCCTGATATAATTATATAACATTACGACCCTAATATTATCACCATTATCTCATTCTAAATATCAAACTCCAATGATATCATTTCCTAAGTTTAACACAATGTTTTTATTTCCATTGTTCATACCTAACCACCATCCCTTGTAATATCATTCTTTCCAGTATTAAACCCTGATAATTCCCAGTGTAAAACATCGTGTTTATCTTCAATGTAAACAAGTTATCAACACATTAAAATCATTGTGTTAGTTTGCTCATGAAAATTTCAAATAAAAGTTTTATCTATATTTGGTTATCGTAATTAAAAAGAAAAAACTAAAATGAAATACAGTGGACATCATCATGTTATTTCACTGTAATAGGAATGTGTATTTTAAAGAAGATATACAAACAGATGTGTACATGAACTTTACACCATTTCTGTACCTGTATCAAAAGTACTACAACATATAAATCTATCAGAATCCCAACGTTTTCATTTCTGTCAATCAGAATCCCAACGTTTTCATTTCTGTCAATCAGAATCCCAACGTTTTCATTTCTGTCAATCAGAATCCCAACGTTTTCATTTCTGTCAATCAGAATCCCAACGTTTTCATTTCTGTCAATCAGAATCCCAACGTTTTCATTTCTGTAGTGGATTTTGTGGTTTCAATAAAATCATGGAAATTAGAACAACTTAAAAATAATGAAATTCCAATCTAATTTGAAACCAAAATCTGATGGTAAAGACCGATTCTAAACTTAATGACCTAGCCATTAAAATGACAGAGATACACCAAAGGGGCTCTAAAAACTTCTGTATTCAGTTAAATTATATCATACTCAAATGATACTTCATTTAACAAACTTTTCTATATTTTTCAGACTTGTAACTCCTTTCGAGCACAAATTAATATGACTCTTCAAATAAATTATGTACAGATTTTGTACTGAATTAATGTTTTATTTTATGCAGTGATAACAGAATGATATCTTGTATATACATAATAAACAACTATCTTGTAACATAAATAACTTGATGACAGAGCCGTTTTTAGAAGACTCCTATACATACAATACCATAGACTTAAGATATACATGTCCAGATCTCCAGTTATGTTATACAGTAACTTCAATATTCAATACAATTTTATGGATATTTCAAAGTAAATCTGAGTTAATCTACCTTTATGTACATTCTTTGTCAAGAGAATATCTTCAATTTTTATACATATGATAACTTTCATCAATCTTAATTCATAATGATTAACTCTCAAACGCATGTTATTTGAATGTCAAGTTGAAACTGAAAAATTAGAATATGTTAAAAAAGCAATATTTTTCAATAAAAAGCTTAGGATTTGCTGTAATGTAAAGAGACACCTCATAAAAGACGTACATACATGCATACAATGTTAAATGGCAGTAAAGTTTTGAAAGTTAAATAAGTTTACATGAAACAAGGGAAAGAACTCTTAACATCATGGAGATAGAGACATAAGCATGACAGCTGTTACTACCATCACAAGTGGTAAGTTTCAACACAAGCTTTATTCAAAACCCAATATGGAGCACTAAAAAAGTCTTTCACACAGAAACATGTTGGATGTTCCCACTGTTATTAATTTCGAGAAGAGAAACACATTATACTGGCTAAAATTATTTTCTACCATATCATATGCCACGATTGTACAGTCCAGCAGGAAAAAAAATTCAAATTCTAACTAAGCACTATACTAGATAATACCACATGACTTTGCATCACTGGAAACTTTTCCTTAAAGCTATTATAACTATTAAAGAAACAAAATAATTATCTATTTTCAAAAATATCTTTGGTTATAGAATTAAATTTCTTAAAAGTTCATTAATTCACAGATTTAAAACTTTAATTTAAACTTTTTACTAACTTATCTTAACACTTTGTTTAAAGCATAAAAAAATTTAAATTAATGCTTGATCAAAGATCACCAAAACAAACTTTCCTGTACATTTGTTACATTTTTAAACACAAATATTGGTCTGCAATCAATATATTTCTGTTAAATAAAAAAGCCTAACACTCTATCTGATATATACCAGAAACCTCAAGCTCTCATGTGACCTAAGTGACGTTTCTTTTCTTTTGACGAAACAGTATTTTTCTATTGCTTGAAAAATGAAAATAATTGTCAGCTTATAGGAGAGATAACAATCTTCATATCATGAAACCAAACATGAATTCAACATAAGCACACACACATTCAGAAATTAGAAATGCACAAAACTCCAGATGAAAATTTGAAAAGAATGCTGTACATTTTAACAAACAATTTGTTGATGTGGTACTTTAAATATTGCCACGTACATTTTAAAATACCAGAGAACGTCATTGTAAAATCTCAAATTTTAGTTGTTTTATCAGCCCACTTTCTATCTTGTATACTCTTCTTCTTGATCAAGTTTTAATCTTTTCATAATTAATTGTCCTTGTGATACTTCAAAACAATACCTTGTGAAGACTAATTTAGATTGATAAACACTACAGTGAAGAACTTAAACTGAAATCTACTTTTTACTTTTTCTGAAAAATCCCTTACCTAGATTTAATGAATGAAATATCATACCACTCTCAGCTTTGTAGTCTTCAATGGTTTAAACTGCTGGACCAAGTTTGAACCCTTTTTGGTTCAATTGGTTTTCTACCTTGCAGAGCTGTCTCCATTAGACAGAGTGGTCAACAGGCATTGACAACACAGGTGTAATGTAACAAACATGTGGTTAGTAACTTAACATGTATTTCCTTGTAGAATATCGTACATTAACAAGTATACAAAAAAACTTAAAATAATTTTATGGAAGAATACACAGTATATCTTTGTAGGTAATCATGAGTACTCTCACCATACTTTGTTTTGTTTTGGTCGCGTTTTAAAAATCTGCGGACAATGTGAAGATTTGTATTATTGACAAGCTGATGATTAATTTCATCAAACATATCAAAATATGTTTTCATGCTCCCATGCATACACAAATGATAATTTTCTACTAATAAACACAAAACATTAATAACTACATTCACTTTTTACTAAATAAAAACTTACACAAAAACAATGATCAGGTAATTACTACCAATCACAGCACAGTATAGTGGTCACATGATTGTGCTGTGTTGTCTATGTCACGTGACATCACTGTTTATTTTGATTGGACGGACAAGCTTGTCCAATGAGCAACAGTCACACTTTTCATTCTCCCCAATGAAACGATTTGTCAAATATGATATTGACAAAATGAAACATTTTAGCCGTTCAAAAAATGACAAAATGTGACATTTTGGTCAATAAAAAATTGACAAATACAACATTTCTGCCAATCAAAATTACAAATACAGCTTGCCTCAAAGTCAATATCAATCTAATAATCCTCAAGAGAATCTTCAACATCTGTCTGCACCAACCACTGTTAATCGAATAATGCACGTAAGAATTTGAACATCCATGTAACGTATATACTGTATTACAAAACTCTACCATGCAGTTTTTAAGAAGAGTTTTTGTATCATAAAAAAGCACAAGTTCTCCACATCCCAGGGAAAACATCTCTGTACATATGTTCAACTGTGACATGAGATCTAGAACAAAACTCCCAAAACCACCGACATCCACAAACACTGCCAAATAATCAGAGATAAATGAATATCCTTATGGTTGAATCCTCTTATCTAACCCAGCATAAGAGATGATTTCTTTTCCAATTGAGTCCCGATATATGATTTCAATCTATCCTTTCCATACCTCAATGGTTATAATTAGCTGCTTGATTCTAGGGATAATGTCTGAATGGAGCATCCATATTACTGGACGATGGCGTAATTTGGACCCATGGTAGATCCTTTGGTCTAACATCCTCTCGTGCTCGGTTTGACTTGGACTTTGTACTAGCTTTACTTCTCACACTGCGCAAACTGCGAACACTTTGTCGATCGGATGCGTAATAGTTATTAATAACAGTACCATCACGCATGCTCGTTTCGTAACTTGGTGGTCTCTCTAGGGTAGGATATTCATTGGTCACTCCATCAAAAGTCTGGTTATCATGGTAACTACTCTGACTGTGGCCTGCATTTTGTATGTCAGCACCAGTGGTACGTGATGGCGTCTTGTACATTTTTACAAACTCTAATTCGTCATTTGCAGGACTTGCTGTAAAGACAAAAAGGAAAGAATTTGAATCAATGCATTGAAATCTAGAATTTAAAAGAATGAATTCAATTTATAGGGAAAAACATGATACAAAAGATCAGAAAGTTTTTTCTCTGATCTTAAAACCATATGAACTACAAGCACGAAATGGATATTACAAAAACTATAAACAATGACTTTCTTTTAGATTGCTTCTTCATCAGTGTACTGTTAAGTCTATAATTTTTTTTTTCACAATTAAAACTGACCACTGTTACATCACTGATTATTGAAGGGTTGAATTTGTATTGAATTTATTGGTACTCTCAATCCATGAATTAATGTCCACACAATGAAAAACAGATAAAAGTCAACAAAGATTAAAGTACAACTTAATTCTGTGATGACCATCTATCTGTGAACTGCCAACAAAAATGTACATTTCTGGGAAACAACAAAACATAAGTTTAGTTTAGTTAATTTCAGTTGACATGTCAATAATACATGTCTCAGTTGACATGTCAATAATACATGTCTCAGCTGACGTGTCATAAAAACATGTCTCAGCTGACCTGTCATAAAAACATGTCTCAGTTGACGTGTCAATAATACATGTCTCAGTTGACATGTCAATAATACATGTCTCAGTTGACATGTCAATAATACATGTCTCAGTTGACATGTCAATAATACATGTCTCATTGATTTATACAGTAAAATATTTAGAATTGTGTTATAATCGATGATCAGTTGAAATATACAAGTGTGATTATTAAGGAATGATTGTGAGTACCCATAAATTATGTAGGTGATGTTGGTAATCAAAAATGGTTAATGTTCATCACAGTCAAAAGTATGTTTTTACCAGACTTGTATCTATATTTCCATTGTGTAAAATGATGAAAAATATTGACACTTAAGATATGTTATTATGAGGGCTTAAAACTTATCACAGTAACATGGGTGAAGATGTGCATGTAACATTACGGCATAAAATAGATAGGTTCATGTGTGACCTAAAATTCTCTGAAGTATTTCCTTACAGGATGTGGTACCGAATCATATACACGTACATAATGTTTAATATACAGAGTTTTTAACATAATCTATTGTTTTTAGTTTATACCTCTTCAGCTAATACCATCAACATTGTTAATAAAAGAAATGTTTGAAATTATATCATAAATAACTCTATACCAATATCATCAATCTCACCCAGTTTAACAGTCAAATCAATGTGAAAATGTCATTATACATCAACTGTAACATTATAACAAATCACAACAACACACAAATCTATCAAATATAACATCAAAAATCTTATACCAATGTATAATTGTTTTTTCTTTAGCCAATTCTTGTATGTTTGTTTTTGAATTTTTTGCAAAAATTTGTATGGTAAAAATTGAACGGCAAAATTTCAACTAAAAAAGGCTAACATTATATATCAATAAAGGAAATTGTGTTCTTTAATTTAATTGGCTAAAATATGACATTCAAGATCTGACACACGACGGGGAAGGGCAAACTTATGGCAGAAAAAACCTGTTACACATATGTACAGTATAAAACTATGTCAACTCATTATTTTAGTGTCTTACATTCAGTTTTGTTGAAAGTATTCATAAGTTGGAAGACATGGAAAGAAATGTAAGAAGAAACATATCATAAACAATAATTCAGAACTGATTGCTATACAATATGTTGATACATATAATGTTTACAATGTTACAAAATGTACTGTTATTATCCAGTATAAATACAATCCATTACACAATCTTCCACTTATACAATGTTTACAATGTACACAATGTGATTTAGTATAAATACAAACAATGTAACAGTTTATACAAAACATACAATGTTAACAATGTTAAACAATACACATTATATGAAGAATTTTAAAAAAGAGTTCCTCAGAACTGTATGTGTCGCCTGCATAGTGTCACGGTAACCCAGAAATCGAACTGGATGTGCAACGTTCAACCATAAAGTTGTAGTACCAAATTTCATTTCTATAACTCAAAGCATAACCAAAGAAAGACCAGAAAACAATATTCCCAGAGAATTTTCTAAGTTCAAAGGGGCATAACTCTGCCAAGAAGGGTTACAGACAGCCAGGAATCGAACTTAATCTGTACTCTTCCAACACAAAGCATATCCGAAATTTCGTACGAACACCACCGCCGACACGTGACGACAGACAAAGTGATCCCTAAGTGTCTGCCAGCTCTGCAGGCGACACAATAAAAACGATATAACTGTTGATATATAGACAATATTGTAAACAGGAAAGTTATATAACTATTGTTTGTACATGTCATTTTAGTCACTATGATTAATTACTAGCATGCATCTATACAATTACATGGATTAAAATGAAGGTTTTCTCACAGTATCTAGTATCTAAGGCTACATGGTGAATATTGAATGAACTGTAAAATTTTAAATGAGAAAGATTTACATCGTATATTTTTTGTTCACAGATTATCAATGGAGAAAATAGGAAACAGTTGGTAGCTAAGATTACATATTCAATTCTGACACGAAATGACAAAAAATTGCAAACTGTGAAAATACCCACTGTATGATATAATGTTTCTAGCAATGTTCTTGCTTATATTATCCTATATAGAATCTGATTGTATACCATGGTGTTACGTCTTTTATAAGAGTTAAAACAGGCAAAATTATCCAAAATTATCAGATCTAAAAGTGAATAACTTTTTCTGGTTATAATAGACTTTAAAGGTATTTTTTGATAAAGTATGAAAGTGCTATAAGCCTATACCTGGTAATATCTAACCCCACCCATATCTACTACAGTACAAGTAGAAAAATTTAGATATCACTGCCCAGTAATACCCTAACATTCCTACTTAGAGACATACTATATAATATCTTCTTGGGCTTATTGAATATTCATAAGGACTTGTAATTAATGACTATGGGGGGGGCTATCATAATTTGATTTTAATGTAAACTAGAAAATATATCGGAGTCAAATTAAGTTATAAGTCGAAAATTATTCCATTTTTGAAAGACTTCAAGGTAAAATGCAATGAATTCTTCAATGAAAATATGAATTAAGCATTATATTAGATTCCAACAAACATTGTGAGGAATCAGATTAGAAGAAAAATTTATGTGAAAAGATATACCTGTTCCTACATTACACTGATAACCTGTCATCTGTTACAGTTGCAGTATTTTGATACACCAGTCATAAAAGGTAATTTCTCTCCTGTTTAAGTGAAAATGCCATGGCCTGTCTACTAGCTACTAATACACCAAGATGCATAACTTTACAAATATACAGGGAAAAGCACAGATCAATTGTTTAATACAAGTGTTTATCTTTGAAATTCTACGTTTTCTTAAAAAACCTGTGTTAACCAATCAAATGGTAATATGAAATTGCATAAGCCTTGAAAATATTTCTATGAATGAAAAAAAACCCCAGAGAATTTCATACTTCTGTAGACTTCTATATAAAATATGCAATCAATATCGGTATCTTGTATCTCAAAGATAATCACATGTACTGGGGTAAAATTAAGCTATGTGTTACCTCTGTCCCATGGGGGAGGCACCCCACAGGTTAAAAGTTTGTGCACTTGAAACAGAAAAGCTGAAAACACATAAACAACATCCATGTGAAAAGAATTTTGGACTGAATATAGTCAATCATATGAAACTGAAATGACTCTCCAAATGGAAGATCTATTTCATTAACATTGAATGAAAAATGAATAACTTAATAGAGAAGAAGAAGAAGAAGAAGAAGAAGAAGAAGAAGTAGAAGAAAGAAGAAGAAGAAGAAGAAGAAGAAGAAGAAGAAGAAGAAGAAGAAGAAGAAGAAGAAGAAGAAAAGAAAGGAAGAAAAAGAGTACATGAACCTAAACAATCCTAATTTTAACTTACAAACAACTACATATAATAAACAAAATCATGTTGCTGTTATACCAACAGGACTGTTAGATTACAAGAAAAAAAAAAAAAAATCTAAGTGATTAAAAAAAAAAAACAAAAAAAACTTAAAAACATGAATTAGTTGTTGTTAACCAGAACATAATTAACAGAACAACTTTGTAACAAATACTTGGCTTACACAGAGGGGGCTTGCTGATCAAACGTCCACATGCTGAGTATATTGGATATACTATCTGGGAGTAAGGAAATTGATGTCATACAATTCCTGTTTTACATTAATCCTTATAATTACTGACTAAAATAGCTATTACTTATTATCATACATAAATTATGGTAATTTTCTATAAGGTTTCATTAGCTAATTAAAACAATCTGAATATTTGTCCACAACTTGATAAATGATCAAGGTGCTTTCATAATTCAAACTTTCAAAATAATAATTAATATCTTGTCAGAATTTTTATTAAAGATCATCAAGATATATGTGTCTTTTTCTTTAATTCCAGACAAAGTATTTTTTCAACTTAATTGTGTGGGTTTTTTTTTTTTTAATAATTTTTGGTACATATTATACACAACAAATACACATAGATATAGCCTATTTTATGTTTGGGTAAAAAAAATCTTAAAGAAAAACTTGAAAACAACATACTGTACAATCCTTAATTCTTGTAGAAGATTTATTTTCGTGGGTACTCCAAAACCATGCCATTGTACTGTTGAAATCATTATACGTAGATTAGTCGAGCTGTATTCATCCACTAAATCAAATGCTCACAACATACTTATTTTGGAAAAAACCCCACCAAAATTGGGTTCCCTGAAAATGTCTGATTTAAAAGTAACCTTTAGTTTAAACATCAATAAACACACCAACATCTAAATGAAAGATCATTCATGCAAGGAACTGATTTAACTTGTCACACTATGTACAGCTCTACTGAAAAGTTTGTTTTGGAATACATGTATTAATAAATGTTTTTTATGTTCTTGTTTTCTCAAAGACAAAGTTAATCTGACAAAAAATTGCTGATATTTATCTTTTTTTCATTGTTAAATATTTTGTAAAGCTGTACAAGTGTTAATTT